GGGATGGTTCTCAACCAGAAAAGAGCAGTTTGGGATAAATTAAAATGTGCGATTTGGCTTTTGCTGGTGGCACAGATTTACTGTGTGAATAAATCCACCATTCTCTCGGTCTGTGATGAGAATAAATCCACCTCCTGCTGGTTCAGGCCAGCATTCGCCCAAGTGAGCAATGGGAGCATCAAAAAGAGTTAAAAGGTGGTCCCCTCGCACGGGGTGAGGGGATGTGCCGCGGGGATGTGATCTGGAAGGACTTGGGCACCATGTCCAGATGGTGCTGGGAAGCCGCGGTGGGGCAGGCTCTGGTAGTGGAGCTGCAGAGCTGACCTTCACTTGGAAAAAGGGTGATTGAATTTTTAAAAGCATCTTCTTAGCATAATATGACTCAAAGGGCACATGCAGCGCCCGGTGATCACGTTGCTAGAAGAGCATTCCCTCCCGAATGAAAGACGCTCAGAGCAAAAGGGTTTGTGCAGATAAAACTGGTCCCTCCTGGAAGAAAATGCCTTCATGAATATCCTTTTCCAAGAAGAAGCAGCGAACGCAGGGCTGCAGCGGCCGAGGACAGAGCCCCTCACCGCTCACAGGCCGTGGATGGCAGGCTTCCTGGCTATATCGGGGGGTGCACTGTTGTGCCCCAGCCTCAGACCAGTGAGGCCCAGGAGGAAGAGCCCCTTGCCCATGTATTGGCAGTAAAAAAATAAGGGTCAACACATGGCTCTTTTTAGACAGATTTTGTGAGTGCTCTGGGTGAGAAATGGAAAGGAGCTCGTGAATTTCAGGTTCTGCTTATCCTGGCGCTGCCCGAGCCTTCCACCAACACTGGCGCTTGCACCCCAAATGTCGGGGTGCTAGCGTGTTTGTCCCTTATTTATAGAATTGTCTATAGGGTCTGCAGGGGTTTTGAGTTTTTCAGCTGTGATTTACTGCAGATGATGGAGAAAACCGTATGCTTTTGTGAGAGTCACAAATACTGAGATTTACAAGGTTTGGGATTGAAGTCATTTTTCATCCATTCATTTGACAAAAATTATAATGCCAGGTGCCAGGGATAAGAGGGTAACTAAGACGGGTGTGACCTCATGAAGTAGCTGAGGCCTGTAGGGCTTCGTGGCCTCAAGCCCCATGAGAACAGAGCTCACAACTTGTCCACCCCACAGCCACTCCTCAGCGTGCCGAGCTCCGCCCACTTCAGGGCCTTGGCACCTGCTATTCCCTCAGCCTGGAACAGCCGCCACGTCTGGGTATTCCCAGGGCTCACTGCCTTCGGGCCTCCGCTCAGATGTCCTCTTTCTTGACCGTTCCTTTCGAGTGACAGCTGCATCCCCTCCCATCATGTTTCTACCCTGTGCGCATGCCCGTCTTTGTCTGTGCTGTGTGGCCGTGAGGTCTGTGAGGACAGGGATGTGCCTATTCCGCCCACTGCTGCACCCCGAGCAGCATCTCGCCCAGTGCTGTGCAGGTCGCAGGCCCGTGTAAGGCAGCGCCTTTGGCCTTGCCTGGGATGCGTTTCTGCGTCGGGGGCCAGGATGTGTCTGTGCTTCAGGGAGTTTCGACTCCAGCTCCAGGATGTAGCTCAAGACCACACCCTTCAGCTTCCTTCGCTCCTTGTCCTGTCCTCGCAGCTACTTCGGGGACCTAATCCTTTTCGCCAGGAGTGAGGAAGATCCCTGTGGTCCTCCCCACCCTTTTGCCCACCCACGTTTCCATCACAATGAGAATCGCACCACAGCTTGCTGAGCAGAACTCCTTCCAAGCCTCATATTCTCCGCCCGTGTTCGTTTGACCTTCTCATCCCTCCAGTTGCAGAGCAGGCCAAGGAACTGATGAGAAAGGCACAGCAGCCTCGAGGGGGCTAGCAGAATCCCTGGGCCACATTTCCAGCTGCTCCTTACTTTTCTGTTCCCTGGAGACAGGGGACATTAGGGGACATTAGAGCTTTAGGGATGATGACGGGAGACAGTACATCAAAGTCAGGAAGTGACCCACTTGATGTTTATCGCCCAAGGCCAGCCATCCACAGGTGCCACGAAGGTTCCTTTGGGTGCCCTTGACCTTCTGGGGGAGCAGCTTGGCCATGGCATGGCCTGTATTAGAGCAGCCCCAAGGTTCTGTTGCCCCTCGCAGCAGTTCTTAAAAACTGGAATAAGTCATGAACAAATAAAATTAAGGGGATTTCACATAAATTTCAGATTCTGGCTTTTCTTGGAAAAAAAAAGAAAGAAAAGCATTCAGCAACACTAGGAACACAGTCCTGTATGGCAAGAATTGGCTAGAGCTGGGAGGTGTCTCCTTATTCAGTAGCACTCGGCCGCTGGCATTCAGTGTCACTCAGGGTGCCTGCTCTGGTCCCTGGGGCATTTGCATTCTCAGCCCCTTTCCTGGTGCCTGGCATTTTAGCTTAGCGTTCCCATAAAAACCCACAGTCCAGCAGCCCTGTGCCTGGTTGTCCTGGAAGCCAGCCCAGGAGAGCTTCTGTGTGTCTCCCGCCCTCTCCTGCCAATGCCATTCTTGATGTTGCTATTTGAACATTCAGATGCAACGCTCTAGTAGGAGCAGAGCAGGAAAGTCAAGTGCTCCGACAGGGATCTTTAATAATCAACAGCTAAGGTCATGAGGATGGAAGGATGCTGTTTTTCAGCAGGCCTTGTGCCAGGTCACATGTACATACAGAACTCTCCAGAGGTCATACCTGCAAAGTCCCAGTTAGTCAGAGGCCACCATGAATGCCCATCTTTGATATTACTGTTAAATGACCCAATCCAGTTGCCTGTGTGAAATTCACATCTCCAGCCCAGGCTGCCCACTCAAACTCCATACTCTTGTGTGCACAGGCCAACTCAAGAGCTCTGCTCTGATGCCAAACTCACATCTGAACCCGACTTGCCCCACACTGAGACCCTGCTCTTCCCTTCCAAGCCCCCTCCTCTCACACCCTCCCCCAGCTCGGTTGAAAGCAACTCCATCTCCCACTTCCCGGGACCAAACCCTTGGAGGCATCCTTAATTCCTCTCTGCCTCTCCCGCCCACACTGAACTGTCAGGAAATCCTGCTGGCTCTGTCTTCAGTGGTTATCCAGAGTCTGACCACACTCTGCATCCCCTCCTCCACTGCTGCCTTCTGTCATCTGGACATCTGCGGCAGCGCCTCACTGGGCTCAGTGTTCTCACCCTCACCTCCCTTGAGCCCCCTCCGCTCAGCACTCGAGTCAGATCCAGTCCTCCCCTGCTCTGAGTCCTTCAGTGGCTCCCCAGTTCCCTCAGAGTAAGGGCCTCATGGTGACCTGCCCACCCGACCCCTCTCAGGCCACCTCTCAACCTACATCCCCCGAATGCTCCGCTCCTGCCCCACGGGCACCTGGCTCTTCCAGAACACACCACACGCCTCCCACCTTCGCTCTGGTGCCTGGAATGCACTTCCTTGATCCCCAGCGAGGCCCACCCTGCTGCTGTTCATGGTTTTACATGTGGTTTTCCACCATCTGACATTCTATTTTTTCAATTTTATAATTTCTTTACTTATAGTCTCTCACCGTGACAGCAGGGGGCTTGGTCTCTCTGGTCACTGCCGTGTCCCCAGTGCCAAGAACAGGGCCTGGCACAGATAAATATTTGCTCAAGGGATGAGATTTAGTAGGTCAAGCCTCTTTAAGCATCCCAACAGAAATATTTTGAACACTCTATATTTTAATGGAACTTTTTTAACATGGGAAAAATCCAAACATAATTGAGATGTGACAGTGATGCCATGCGTCCATTACCGGGCAATAATCAATGTGTGACCAACTTCATTTTGTCTATACCCTACGCATTCCCCAGATTGTTATGAAGCAAATCCAAGTCCTCGTATAATTTTATCTGTAGTTGTTTAGCATTCTTTTCTTTTTACGGCTGCATGCTACTCCATTGGGTGGGTGCACCATACTTCATTTTATTTAACCAGTCTTGGTCCTTTTTGCGTAGCACTTTCTATTTTATAAAACCAGTTTTCCATTCAAGGGAACTTTCAGAATCAACTGCAATTTCACGATGCTTTTTTCTTAAATTGAAATGTAATTACTTGGCAATACTTGTTACCCATGCAAAAACAAAACAGAACGAAGCAAAAATATTGCAAAATACCCATCTCTCTCCATAACATTATGTATTACTCCTTACGGATATTTTGTTAGAGGGTTAATTTTTTTGTAACCTTTTATTTTGATACAATTTTAAACTTAAAGTTTCCAGGACAGTACCAATGTTAGTTCCACCCTTCGCCCAGATGCTCAGATTCACCAGTTGTTAACATTTTGCCCCAATTGCTTTTTGCTTTATATTTTTTCCCTTCCTGCCATATATATATGTATGTATATTTAGATACAAATTGTATATTTTATATATAAATATATATTTATGTACATATATATGTATGCCCTCTATACTATTTATAGATCTATATCTATACTATACTATTTATAGATCTATACTATCTATACTATTTATAGATCTATACTATCTATGCTATTTATATAGTTTATAGATAGAGGGCATACACATATATGTGTCTGTGTGCATATATATAAATATTTTTTAACTATTTGAGATTAAGTTGCAGACATCATTCCTCTGTACCTCTGAACACTGCAGTATGTATCTCCTAAAAACAAGGGCATTCGTTTTACATAACCATGGTACACTTAAGAAAGTCAGAATATTTAGCATTAATACTATTCTCTAAGCCACAGACTATATTTAAATTTCTTCAAGTGCCACAATAATCTTTACAGCAGTTTTCCGCCACCCAGGACCCAGTCCCAGGGCCGCCACTGCATCCAGTTGCCATGCCTGCCTAGTCGCTTTTAATCAGTTCTCCAGGCCTTATTCTGTCTTTCACGACCTTGACATTCTTGGAGAGTCCAGGCCAGTTTTTTAATAGAATGTTCCTCAGTTTGCTCTAATAGATTTTGAGCTGCACTCTGAGCACGTAATCTAAAAGAGCATCTTCTTGATTCCTGCCCCCAGGACCTGGAAGCCGGCGAGAGAGACCCCTGTCTGCAACCCGCAAAACCGTTTGTGAGGCCGAGGACCGAGAGGAAGACGCCTCTGCCGTGCTCCGAGCCATCCAGGTGGAGAACGCAGCCCTGCAGAGGGTGATCCTGAGCAGGAAGGCCGAGCTGCAGGTGCGTCCTGGGCAAGGGGACAAGAAGGAAGCTCAGGCACCAGGCAGTGTCTGAGCAGCAGCTGAAAAGAGCGTGTGCGGAGAAGAGAGAGGGGCGGTGGGCATTGCTGACCTCAGACGCATCTGCGTTTCCACGGTCTGCAGCCGCTCACTGACCCGCCAGTGCTCCCATTTCTTCCACCTTCTTTTCGGTTTTTTTTTTCTTTCGGAAGGCTTCGGTTGTTTGTCATTGGGCTTCCGTTTTTTGTTGTTTCCCTGCAAACCCTGGAGACCTTAGACCAGGGTTGCAAACCGGTGGGTCAGTGAGAGAATGGAGTAAACTGCAAGCTTGGCCTCCCTGGAGGGCATGAGCCCTTCAGCTCCCACAGCCCTCACTGCTCCCTGTCGTCTACCCTGGCCTGTTTCACTTGTTCCTGAAACTTCCCTGGGCATACAGGTGTTTGAGCTTGTGCTTGCTGCCTTCGGCTTTGCCGACCACCAGGAGGAGAAATGGTGAGGCGGGGCAGGGGCCTTCGGGGACACACCCCGACAATCATTTTCTTCCTCGGAAGCATGGTGTCTGACGCCCCTGTTGAAACCCTTTTTCTTAGCTTGTCCCCTGCAATGCTCACAGTAACCCTGAGATGGGCACGGCTGGTTTTATTGCTTTGCTTTGTAGATGTGGCACCCAGGGAAGCAAGGTGGCTTGCTTGAGTGATGTCTTTGGAAGTGGCCAAGGTCTGCCTGCCTGCGAGCCCAGGGCCTCATCCACGGTGCCACCTGGTCCCCAGGCTTCATCTCAGGGCTGCTCTTTTTGGCATTCATCGAACAGCACCTATTGTCTGTTTTCCTGGAGCTCTGTTCTTGCCTCTGATGTTTATGTCTACGAGATCCTGAGACTCTTCCTGCCCCCTGTATGCCCTCATCTGTCGGTGAAAAGTACGCAGTGGATGTTCCGACCTCACATCATATGATTATGTCTTTCCAGGATGTGGAGGGACCACCAGTAAAACCGTGGACCAGACTGCTGAAGGAGAAGGAAGAGACCCTTGAGGTCAGTGCTTGGCTGAGACATGACAAAGCCCCATACATGCACTCAGCCCCTGACGGCCTTCCAGCAGGTCCTCCCTGTGAGCCCTGACCACCAGTGTCATTGTCCTGCCCATTTCACAGATGGGGACAGCAGGGCTGGAGTGGCTTCCCCTAGCTCATGAGTTGAAGCCAGAACTCACCGAGGCCTGCTGACTCAAATTCCTTGTTAGGTTTCTATTTCCTGACAAGACAATGCAAAAACAGATCTTAGTCCCTTGAATAAATAAATTATATCTGTATCTATCTAGGTCAATTAGGTGTATTTCAGCAAAGATGACCCTGGCACATAAGGCTGGGAGTTAGTAAAATGTGCAGGAATGTCTCTGCTAGATCGTGCATGGGTCTATGCAGTGTGCTCAGGATACAGAGATGGCTAAGACAGATGAACACTTGGCCACAAAGGAGCTTGCAGGCAACAGCAAATAAAGCCACCAATAAACAGGGTGACTTCAGAGAGAGATGATAAGCAAAGCTGCTAATGGGTGAAAGAGTGACAAGGTGTGGGATGCTGGCTACCTCTGATGGGGTGGTCCAGGAAGCCCCTCGGAAGGCACGTTCCGTTTGAGCTGAGCCTTGCCTGTTCACAGAAGGTGCCAACAACAGGGAACAGCATTCTGGGTGGAAGGAACAGGGAAAAGCTTTGTCGTGGGAATGAGCCCAGCCTATCAGGGAGGAGGAAGAAGCCCTTTGTGTAGTGGAGACAAGGGGAGTGGGGAGGGGAAGGAGGGGACACAGTGCCCAAGTGGGATAGGGGGCTGGGCAGACAGCACCCTAGAGCACCAGAGAGATTTTCTCTTCACATTGTTCCTGCTTGCCCTACGAGTTCCTGGTCATTTCGGCTGCCACCAGCAGTACTTGCTGACAAGTCTGCAATCCTCCCCACCCCATAGCAATGCAGCCATAGGATTCTTCTTCGCGAAGGTTTTTTTTTTTGTTTTTCCTATGTTATTCCAGACCCATTAAAACTACTCCCTTAGACTCAGGAGCTGTGGTCCAGGATCTCTGGGTGACCTGATTCCTGACCCGCAGAGCTTCCAACGACTAAAATCTTCTGCAGATAAGCAGCGGGGCACATTGCTAGTTTAGATGATAAATGAAAAAAGAAGGAGAGAAGGCTCAGAGGATTAAAAAAAATGAAAAGATCTAACGATGTTATTGGAATCCTCCCTGGAGTCTGGTTACTTTGTAGCAAACAGAACAGGGGCTCCACTGAGACGGCGAAAGGAAGGTTCTGATGAGAGACGTTTCTCAGTGTCCCATTGAAGCAGGTTGTTTCCTAGGACCTCCCAGATCGTGAGAAACTGAGGTTGTGTGATGGGTTCTAGATCTAACCGGCCGCAGGCAGAGGCTGTCACCCTCACATTCCTGTTCCTGTTGCCCACAAAGGGAAGTCTGAGAAGCGTGTGCCCTTGACCGTGGCCCTGCTGTGCCCTGGGCCAGGAGCATCGCCTCGACAGCTGTTTAATAAGCTTTTCCATCCTCAGCCGCTTCCCATCGCCACGGCGACCACCACTCAGGAGCCGTCCAGGGCAGCAGGGGGAGACAAAGCCATCGACCAAGCCATTGACAGAATCGGCCTTCTGGGAAGCAGGTACTTACCAAGGCTGAGTCCAAACCAAAAGCTCCCTAGCAGTGCGGCTTTTCCCGCGTTATTCCAGACCCTTCTAAACTGCTCCCTTAGACTGTACCCTCCGTGCCCCCTCCAGCCCTAAAGCATTAAATTGACTTGATTTCTTTCAGGCAAATGGCCCTTGGCTTGTTAAGTTCACTCGTAACCCATATAAAACAGCAACCTCCCACAGGTTTCCACTGGAGTACCCCACGCAGCACAGGGTGGTGAACTTGTTCCTCAGCTAGCCTGGGGGGCAAAGGTGGCCCGAAGCAGCATCCCTCTGAAGCTCTTTTTCTCTATTAAAAGTTTGTTCAAACTCAGCATTCTGTTCCATTACCGTGTAGCATCAGTTATTGGAACTGTCAAGTTTTATTATCAAAATAAAGGCTTCCGTCTAGTCTTCACGCAAAACTGATCTTCAGAAAGATGTGGCAGGTTTAGCTTGTAGTTTCTGGGATGCCTTGGCACACAGACACACTCCCAGCCCAGGGCTGCCGTGCCCAGCTGTGCACATTGTGGACTGTACAAAGTACCTGTCTAAGGAGCTAGAGGGGGCCGACATTCAGCCTGCACGCTGTCACTAAGCTAAGGCCCCAGCCTGGAGCTGCATTGGCCCAGAAGGGGAGTGGGGGCTTTTCTTCTGCACAAAGGAGGAATTTGCTAACCAAGCTGAGTGCCCTCCAGGTCTATGTCCACCCAGAGGGAGCCCCTTGTTACATAACCTGAATAGGCTGAAGGCAGTGCCCAGGAGTCTGCCCACCCTAGACGTAAACCATGGCTGTGTACTCTTGTGACTGTGTATAAGAACTTGCAGTTTCTCCTGCATGAGAAAGGGCTGGACCATGAGGCTATTTTCCATCTGATACAGTTTTATTTACAGGAGCACACACATTGCCAAATGCTTCTTTCTTTGTCATCAAGATCCTTTGTGCTTCAGGGTCTTGGGGCACTCAGCCTTAAACTGAGTGTGTGAGAGTATTTGCAAATGACTAAGGCAACTCTGCTGGGTTTGGAATGTCCTCAGAAACAAGAGGAGCAGAACAGATCTCCAGACCAGGGGTCCACAAACTATTTCTGTAAAATAGTAAAATGGCTGAGGGGGCAGGGGATGTTGTTTGTTTCTTGGGTTTTTGTTTGTTGTAACCACCCTTTAAAAATGTAAACACCATTCTTAGCTCACAGGCCATACAAAAACAGGCCTCAGGCTGCATTTCACCTGCAGGCCTCAGCTGGGCTGACCCCTGCTCTTGACTCTTAACAAGTTCTTAGCTTGGGGAGGTGGTCAGCGGGCTGCCTTGCCTCAGGCGCTGTTTCTCCTGCTGGGCTCTGATTCCATCACTGAGTGTGCAGCTGTTTATAAAGGGAGAAAGATGGCCTGCCTGTGCTTTTGAGCTGTACACAGGGTGCAAACTTTCTTCTCACACTGTTCCTTCTCCTTGAGGTAGAAAAGTCAGTGTGGTGCCTTTGACTAGCATATTCTGTTTTGCGCATCATTTGTTACTACCTCTTTGCTAAAACAAAATCCCATTTCAGACAACAGCAGAAGCTTCTGAAAGTCCTCCAGGCCATCGAAAGTGACTCTGCCCACCTCGGCGGGGTTGTTTCACCAACTGAGGAACAAGTACTGGACCCAGAGGTGAGGGCCTCGATTTACCCGGATTTCCAAATGCATTGAGGAAGGTCCCCTGGGAACAGTCATTTCTATTCGGTGGGGATTGCTCTGACAGCTGTCAACTTAGCATCTCTCTGCCCGTGTGTCTCCATCTCCCCACCTCCCCAGCCACAGACACATACGTGGTGGAGAGTAGAAGCAGAGAGAGAAAGATGTGGGCCAGGAGTTTCAACAGAGAGAAGTCTGTCCACACAAGAGGAAATATAAATAGCATGTAAGCCCATAGGAAAATGTCCAATACTGCTGGTAATCAAGAGATGCAAATTAGAGCAACTTCCACGTCCCATTTGCTATCTGAGATAGTAAATTATTTTTGATGATAACCTCTAGTGCTGGCAAGGTTACCATAAAGCCGTGGCAGCCATACATTGCAGGCAGCTGCATAAGCAGGTGAAACGCTCTTAGAAAGCAGAATGGTTGCACTTAGGAAGAGCCTTAGAAATACTTATGTCTTGCAGCCCAACAATCCCACTACTTTATCCTAAGGAATAAAAAGCTGTAGGCACAAAGATGTCTGTTGCAGAATTATTGCAAGTAGGGAAAGATTTTTTTAAAAAACCTAAATGTCTCATAACAATGGAGTTAATCAGGAAAGTGTGATGTATCAGCACAACGCAGTGGTATAAAAAGATGGAAGCTCTCATTATGAAGATTATGCAGGTAGAAAATGTTAAGGATATAAACTTAACTGTAAAAGGTGATGTTAATCTTCATCGAGTCCAAAATGATTGCAGTGACCATACAAAGACGTGCCCATGTGAGCGTGTTCACAGAACTGGGACATAAACTATTAGTACAAAAGGAAACTGTGGGGTCAGGGTGGTAGGATTAACGGTGATTCTTTTTTCTTTTGCGTCAAAAGGAGTGTGTTCTGGCACATCCTGCCTGCCCCCGTCTTTACCCAAGCCTGTCTGATAATTATTTGGGACGGTGGTCACCAGTCTTACTGTTGGCCAGTGAGGACTTAAGGTGAAGTCCTCCCAAAGCCACATGTAAAATTCATATGGTGGCAGACAGGGCTCTGGGCAGGCCTGGACTAGAGTTCCGGCTTTGAATCTGGTACCGTCATTTAGAGGTCCTGTGACCTCAGACAAGCCTCCTAAGCTCTCTGGTCCTGGCTGTCAAATAGGCTCAACAATCCGCTGGGCCACGGTGAGGGTGAAACAGGAGAGGTCTGTGAGGACGTGCGACTCAATGCCCGGCACGTGGCAGAGAGGAACCGGTAAATATCAGCTGAAGGTTTGCTATCTGGAGAAATCAAAGCTTTGCTCCCCCCTCTTCAACGTGGAATAATTGCTTTCTTAGCTGCAAATGTTCTAAGTGTGGTGAGACTTCAGCCACATTAGAAAGAGCTTGGAGTAAGTCTCTTTATATTAATATTACAGGAGACAGAAAATCCAGGCAAACTGACTTATGCCACAAAGAGAAGAAAAATTGCAGACTCTTGTCATTGAAAATCCCACGGGTGGGGCCAGGTGGGGCTTGATCCAGCAGCTCACACTGTGTCTTTCCACTCGGTCTCCACAGTGTCAGCTGTCCCCTGGAGCTTGGTCCCAGCTCTGCTCTCTCCTTGTGGTCCCTAACTTGCTGGGTAGCTCCCACCCTCAGACCCCACTGCCGAGAGAGAAGAGTGTTCCTCCCCATGTAAATCTGAGGTTGGCGTGCTCACGCTGACCCATGCTGGGGTGCGTGCCCATCGCTGAGCTGCTCCCTCTTGGTGGCCCAGGGGACAGGACACACTGATTCCTTAGACCAGTCTGGCCCCTCCTTGGAGTGGGAAAGTGTCAGTCCCCTTACACCCCATGGCTGAGAAAAGAGAAGAGGTGACTTCCCCAAAGGAAAATCAGCTGTCTTGGTGAGAGAGGGGGTTAATGAATGCCAGGGACCAGGAACTTCCCAGCCAGTGCCCCCCTCACACCCACGATGGGGATCCTAAACCAGGCAATACTGAAAGCAGGAGTAGCCATCGAGTTAGGGCATTGACAAGTTGTGACACTTCCTTAGTTAATAGATCCTTCAGCTTCTTCATTTAGAAACTCAGCTCAGGAATTCACACATTTCTGATTGCACCGGTAGAAGATCCAGCAGCCCCTCCTCGAGGCAGCCTGCCTCCCATCTGGCCCTCCTCCCCCCCACCAGCGAACACCGTGAGCAGTGCCACCTCTTCACGCCCCCAGGACCCAGGACCCACGGCTCACCTGGCCCTGGACTGCTCCTCACAAGCACAAAGCTCATAAACCTCCCAGTCCCCTCCGAGTCGGCCAGGCCAGTTTAGCTTTATCACCATCCTGCAAGCCTGGGACCCAAGCCCAGGGCAGCGGAGGGCTTGGCCGGGACCCTGGGAGGGGGAGGAGGGGAGGAGGGAGCTGCCGGTTTCCAGGGCTGCGCTAATCAAAACAGGCCCTGTGTTTCTTCTGGGAGCTGGGAACTGACCTCCCCACCTCCTCCCCATCCCCGTTCCCACCACGTGGCAATCAAGCCTCGTCCAAATACACGCTGAGAGCGATAGCACGTCTCGCTGGCTATTAATTAAAAAAATAAGTGGGGAACAGTTGCTGTTCATTTGCTCAGCTCCCTGCTCACAGAGCCATTGCAGATTAGCAGTGCTAATTAACAGAGGGCATGTGCACGCGGGGAATGCACCATTTTACGAGTGACTGATCCGTGGCGACCAGTGCCGCAGTGGGCCCCGGAGGGCCTCAGGGAGCCATTCCGAAGGGTGGCCATTTGTTGATGGCATTCACGCAGACTCTCAGAGCAGACGGCCAACCCGGGAAGGAGGCCGGCATTAAAATCAACGAAGGAGAGAAACAGAAAGGAACAGACACTTGCCAAGTACACAGAGGGCCGGGGCTCGTGATAGGACCTTCTTGGGTGTTGGTATCTTGCTTAATGTCCTTGGCAGAATTATCACACAGATGGTGTCATGTCATCTTCCCTGACCAGGCTGAGGCATGTAAAGTGACTTGTCCAAGGCAATGGGGCCTTGTTACCTACTGTATTAGTCTGCTTGGGCTGCTGTAACAAAATGCCACATGCCGGGTGGCTTAAACGGCAGAGATTTGTTTTCTCACAATTCTGGAGTCTGGAAGTCCAAGGTCAACGTGTTGGCAGGTTTGGTTTCTTCCGAGGCCTTTCTCCTTAGAGATGGCTTCCTTCTTGCTATGTCATCACGTGATCTTTTTCCGTGTGCACCCGTCCCTAGGGTGCCCCTGTGTGTCCAGATTTCCTCTTGTTATGAGGACACCCGTCAGATTGGATTAGGGGCCTCCCTAACAGCCTGCTTTTCATTTAATCACTGCTTTACAACCCCTTTCTCCAAATACAGTCACTTTCTGAGGTACTGGGGTTTAGAGCTTCATCGGATGAATTTGGAAGGGACACAATTCAGCCCAGATCACTTACCCAATTCAGAAGATGTCGTGCCATGTCAGGCACCTGGACCTGAACACTGCGTAGCGATGGAGAGATGTGCATGTTCCGGTAGAATCTGATGCTTTTTCTTTTCTTTTTCTTTTTGAGACAGGGTCTTACTTTGTTGCTCAGGCTAGAGTGCAGTGGCATCATCACAGCTCACTGCAGCCTTGAACTCCTGGGCTCAAGCCATCCTTCTGCCTCAGCCTCCCGAGTAGCTAGGACTACAGGTGTACGCGCCACCACACTCAGTTAATATTTAAATTTCTTGGTACAGATGGGGTCTGGCTATGTTGCCTAGACTGGTCTTGAGCTCCTGGCCTCAAGAGATCCTCCCCCTTCGGCCTTCCAAAATTCTGGGATTACAGGCATGAGCCAGCCACCACACCCAGCAAAATCCGATGCTTTTTAAACATTTTTATTTATTCGTGAACTCTCAAACAGAATACTTACTAAGTGCCAAGGTACATAGCAACTATATTTTAAATGTTTTACAATATGAGCTCATTTAATCTTTATAATAACCACAGATAGTGGGTACTATTCTTATCCCCATTGTACAGATGAAGAAACTGAGACTCTGAAGTTTAAATGACTTGCTGAAGGCCAGCAGCAGTGGTAGAGCTGAATTTAAGCCTGTCACGTTTTAATCCTTTGGTGTTCTTTTCCTCTTCTTTAAGGACAATCAGAGAACGAGAGCAGAAGAGATCAAAGATGCTGTCTACGTGACCATGGAAATCCTGTCCAACTGGGGCAACCCATTGTGGGTGGGTCTCACAGAAGTCGAGTTCTTTGACCTAAACGACACAAAGCTTTATGTGTCACCCCATGACGTGGATATCCGGAACACAGACACACCCGGGCACCTGGGCTACCTTGTCAACAGGAACTTATCTGTAAGTGGAGGGGACACTGGGTTGCTTCTTTGCTTTGTATTTCAATGCATCCTCGCTGCCCTTGCTAAGTGTTTGATAAGCATGTGTGCAGGGAGAGGAAGAACAGCGTAATCTCTTACAGCCGTTTATCTGGGCAAAGCAGGGGAGCAGCTTCAGGGCTGGTGCTGGTGGGGGCCTCCAAACTGTGTCTCCCCGAGCTCTGTCCTAGCTCCCCGCTCTGTGGGCTTTTCTTGCGGGAGCCCATTCACCCCACTTTGATCCACCTTGCAGTCACTGCCAAGCACAGGACCTCAGGGGTCATTAAGGTCAATGCTATCGTTTTGTAGATGAAGAAACTAAGGCTTGGAGAAGAGCATTGACTCGGCCAAGGTCACACAGCCAGAAGGTAGTGGAGCCAAGTTCATGTCCTGCAGCCTGGCCAGGGCCTGTGCCCACACCCCCTTAGGGTCCTGCTCCCCTAGGCTGGGGGAGTGCACACCCAACAAACATCGAATGTTTCTTTCCTGTAAATATCTATCAGAGTTTTAAAAAATTTAAAAAGGCATTGGCATTTTTTCCTTCCTGCCACTTGCAAGTTGGACACAAGAGACTGAGCTAAGTTGAGCCGGAGTAACCACATATAATCTCTGCTACGCTGTGCTCAGTATCGTTCACAATTAGCTCCTGGGAACCTGAGAAACTGGGAACAGAAGTCATGTCTGGGCCAAGGACTGGGTGGGCGGGGGGCAGGGGTGATAGGAAGACTTTTCCTTGGGTGCTCTTGTGCACCTTTTAAATTTCCTGCCACGTGCGTGTATTGTCTCCCATCCAAGTACTAACCAGGCCCGGCCCTGCCTAGTTTCCAAGATCACACGAGATCGGTGCGTTCAGGGTGGTATGGCCATAGACCATGTGCATGTACTGTCCATTCCAAAAAACAAATTATTGATTTGTTTAAAAGACCTGAAAATGAAAATAGCTACCACATACTTAGTTCTTGCGCTGTGCTTGGCACGGTGCTAAGTGCTTCGTACATATGATCTTGTTTATACCTAAATGTGCAGGCTCGAGAAGCAGAACGATCTGGGTTCAAAGCCAACCACTTCTAACTTTGTGACCAGGGGCAACTCACCTAACTTCTGGTTTCCCCGTCTGTAAAATGAGGATAGTAATAGCTCTTACCTTGATGCAATGCTGTGAGGATCATACCTGGCTCTTCCTAAGGGCTCCAAAACATCAGCTCTTATCGTTTTCACTGTTCCTATTATTAATAGTATTAGTAACACTAAGAAACAGATATCATTACTCCTATTTTAAAGAAGAGGAAACAAGAAAGGAGGTCTTTGAAATCCTCAGGTCTCAAGACCCAGATTCTGGTCTTGACTCTGTGGCCTTGAGCAAGTTACCTGCCTTTCCCGAGATGCAGTATGTCTGCCCCCCGTAAAATGGGAGATGGGGGGTAGATCGTCTGTGTTGGTTCTTAGATTGCCAGCAGAAACTGAGATTAGCTCATGTTAGCTCATTTTTTAAAAAAAGAAACTTGTTTGAAGTCTTTTGAGTAACTGGTGTACTCAGTGTCACCCAGGCCAGAAGGGGACAGGCCTCATGTCATGCTGGGGTTCTAGGTAACCTGAGCATTAGCTTGGTCTTTCTTTCTGTGGGGAGGGGGATGAGCAGGAGAACATGAGAGTCTGCCAGAAAGGTCCTCCTGTTGGACTTGAGATTCTGGGGAAGATGGTGCTGTCCTCCTTAGAGACTTTACTGATTTGGCCTTTGGGTGGAGTGTTCACTTTCCACGACATCAGAAATCACGACTAACTTGTGTCCTTAGGCTGGGTCAGGGCTCGTGGTTGTGGACTACTGTCTGAAAGGGAAGAAAATGAGAAGGAGAGTTGGAGAAAAAGAAAATTTCATTCACTTAGTACATACAACACACACTTACTGAGATATTTTGGCAGTGTTTGTTCGTTTGTCCTCGTGTCACTCTGCTGGAGATGTGCAGTCTCAGCAGGAGAAGGCTGATGGACCAACCTGGCTGGGGACAGGGGTGCACTTTGATGCCAGTTTCACTGAGATACCCCAACAGGGCAGGGAGGGATTCTCCCTGAAGAAATTCAAGATTGCCACCTTAAAGAAAAGGCAGGCTCAGTGCTAGATAGCCAAGACACAGCCATGCCCAGGGTTGGGCCCGGTGGATCTGAGCCCCCTTCCAGATGTGCAGCTCTGTGATCCGGCCTCAAATGAAACAGGCCCTTGGGCGGCGGCTGCTCAGACACTCTGGCCTTGCACGTCCTGCTCTGCCTCCAGGTTGAAGTCTGTAGGCTCCGATGCTTGCTCCAGCCCTTGCCACACTTCCCTGTCCCCCTCATCTAAAAAACAGTGGCATTTTGGATGCCTGTTCTACAGAGCAGAGCACACCAGGGGTGATAAAAAGCATCGTTGGATTTGATAGGGACCAATTCTAATGTTTACTGTCCCTTTTCCTCTGCTTAGCAGAGGCTGAGGAGCGTTGCCATGTGATGGCCCATGGTTTTGGTGGGTTTGGGGTTTTTTTATTTTTTGGCCCCGAGGTTGGAGCATGAGCCAGCTTCGTCACCCTGGGCTGCTGGATCTCTGGGCCCAGCTTGGGGTGGGCTGGCCCCCCTGCTTCCCTGGTGCAGGGTCCTCCTTGCTGGTCACTCTGTGTACCAGGCCTGGGGCGACCAGAACGTGCTGCCTCTCAGAACCATCCGATTTCCCTGGCGTGTGCCAGCACGGCCTGGTGCACCACTTCATTTAACCCCCACGTGAACCTTGGGCGGACTCTCCCTGTTTTATACTTGCTCGAGGCCATGCAGCACCAGCTCGTGGAGCCCAGTGGACAACCGAGGTACCTGGAAGTGGAGTCTGGGTTCCAAAGAGAAGGTGCTTCAATGGGGGAATTGGGTCATGCAGAAGACGTGGGAGTGCCCCAGGCTCCGTCCAAACCCACCTCCCCTCTGTGCCCAGGTCACCTCTCTCCCTGGCTGCAGCCTGGCCCATGGCCTTGAGCTGAGTGCAAATTTATACACCCAGCTCTGCCTGTTCCTCTGAGTTCCTGACATGAAGGTCAGCTTCCTGTTTGACATCTCTTCTTGGATCTCCGCTAGCCATCAGAGATCTGAAACTCAAGTTTTGATTCCTCCTGCCCACACCCCCACATTGCTTCCTCCTCTAGAATTTCTTGTTTAGTAAACAGCATCGCTGTCTGCTCAGATGCTCAAGCCCACCACTTAGAGTCTTCCTTGATTGCCCCAGGAAGTTGTAGATTTCCTGTGCGTATAGAATCATTTCTAAATAAAAAGTTAAAACATATACATTGCACATTTGTAGGGATATCGTGTGAACAGGACACTCTCTCCACCATCTTCCAGCACACCAAGTCCTGTTGCCTCTACCTCCGAAATAGAGCCTGAATCTGGCCCCTTCTCTCTGTCACCACTGGGACCTCCCAAGTTTGATCAGCT